TAGTAGATATTGTAGTTGATGTTTCTGAAGTGTTAGGTGTTGGAGTTGAAATCACTGTGGTCATTGGTGTTGGGGTTGATGTCTCTGAGGTGGTAGATGTTGGATTGGAGCTAAATGTTGTAGTAGGCCTGGGTGTTGTGGTATGTGTTGCAGTCGATATTGGAGTTGCGGTTACTGGGGTGGTAGGTGACAGGGTTGAGGTCACTGTTGTAGTGTGTGTGGCGCTTGATGTCTGAGTAGTGGTAGATGTTGGAGTAGATCTCTCTATTGTTGATGTCTCTATTGTGGTAGATGTTTGGATTGGAGTCACTGTCGTAGTTTGTTTTGGTCTTGTCTCTGTTGTTGTATATCTGGGTGTGGAAGTTTCTACGGTTGATGTTGGTGTTGTGGTCTGTGTGGTAGTAGAGGTTGGGGTTGGGGTCTCTGTGGTAGTAGATGGTGTGGATGGAGTCACTGTTTTGGTAGATGTTGGGATAGTAGTCATTGTAGTAGTGGTTGTAGTTGGTGTAGTGGAGCATTTTGGATCACAGCAACTACAGCACTGAACACTGATCTCATAGTTGAGACACATGCGCATTGGGATTAACCCTCCTATTTCCTGTTCTGAATTTCTGCACACTAGCCCAACTTTTGTATCACAAGTGACTTTCTGTCCTAGCTGATCAAGTGGTTTGTTGTTATACATCACAGCTCTGCAGGAGATGTTAGCTGCCTCCCAGCCTGGTTTACAGGCATCTCCAATCAGTTCAAAATCTCCACTGTTTTTATCATAGGTGGGTTTGCCAGAATCCTTCCAGTCAGTCCACTCGCACTCGCATGTGCACTCGCATGGAGTGGTTGTGGTGGTGGTGGTGGTGGTGGTGGTGGTGGTGGAGGAGGAGGAGGAGGAGGAGGAGAAGGAGGAGGACAGGGTAGACAAGGTTGATAAAATGGTAGATGAGGTGCTTGGTGATGTGGCAGTTGAGGTGCCTAGTGAAGGAGTTGGTGAAGTTGTAACAGAGGTGGTTGGTGAAGATGTCTGTGAAGTGGTAAATGAAGTCACTGGTGTAGCACTAGATGAAATGGTTGGTGAAGTTGTGGGTGAGGTTGTTGGTGAAGTTGTGGGGGTTGAAGTAGAACAGGTCACATCTGGAGAGCAACACTTGACTCGTATCTCATAGTCATAACAAAGTTCAAATACTCCGTTTCCATACTGGTCTTCGTTTTTGCAAATGAGCCCAAATGAAACATTACACTGTACCTTCTGGTCCAGTTCCTGCCAGCTGAGTGTGGGATCTGTTGCTGACCTGCACTCAATGTCCACAGGATCACTACAGACACTGTCGAAGGTCTCTCGCTCACCACCATCACTGCCTTCACTAGGATGGTTATTGTTGATCCAATCAGTCCAGCAGCATGGTACTAGAAAAGCAAAATTACATATAGGTTATTCATGCCTGAGAGAGGCTATGGCATTGAGTCCCTGGTGACCTCTGCAGCTGGCCCACAGATACCCTTGCCCACCCATCATTACCAAGGGACCAGGTTTATAGGGTCATATTTCACAACAGACATATTTCTACCTTTGTGCAGCTGAAAGACTGTGACCCAGAGACCCAAGGCCATGTCTAGGTAGGACACATCCTGGTCTTAGAGCCCCAACTCAGTACCCCTTCCTTGACAATGTCATGTGAGAGAAAAAGACTAACAAGAGAGCCATCCCTAAGAAAGAATGTGAAAGGGACTTTGTCTATTCCTGACCAAGAATGTGGTCACCCACACAGGTCAGGTCCCACCTCTGTGTCTAGGGATTTGGCAAACGGTGAGTAAATACACCCATAATCCACAGCAGGTAAGTGCAGCCTGCCCTTGCTTCTACTTCTGAAGGAAGCCCGGAAGGGATTTGGTGTAACATGAAGGGAGCCTGCTTGTTTGGGGGTTTCTTTCCCGCCCTGCCCCCCAGCTGTTTAGTCCCAGAGAAAAATCACACACGGATCTCTGTAAGTTATAATGCTGATTGGCCCATTAGGTCAGGCTTCTTACTGGCTAACTCTCACATCTTGATTAACCCATTTTTCTCATCTATTTTAGCCATGTGGCTCAGTATCTTTTTCAGTGGGGCAGCTCACATCCTGCAGCTTCGGTGATCTGGGCAGGAGTGGGAGGAATCAACTTCCTCCTCCCCAGAATTCTCCTGCTCTCCTTGCATCATTTCCACTTCCTGTCTGTTTTTTCTGCCTATACCACCTGCCTGGCCAATCAGCGTTTATTTAAAACATGATTGACAGAATACAGACAATTCTCCCGCACCAATTTGGAAAGATTTTTCCCTTCTTGGTCCTACTTACCAGGAGTTGATGATGGAACTTCAATCAAGAAAAAGGGGAGGATATCACTGCATAGTTTAAGTCTGAAACTCTCAACATAGACCATAGACCTCAAACTTATGGCAATCATCCTGCTTCTGCCTCCCAAGTGCTGATTGTAAGTGTGTGCATCACCATGCTCAGCCTGCATTGTATGTGTGTGTACATTTGTGTGTGTGCATGTTTGTGCGTGTGTGTGTGTGTGTTTACAAATGTGCATGAACATGTGTATGTGAGTATAGAGCCCAGAGGACAATCTCTAGTGTCATCCTCAAGTATGTAATTTCCTTCTTTTCAGACAAGGTCGCCCATTGGCCCGGAACTTGACAATATAGTTGTCTTGGCTTGCCAGTGAGCCCTAAGAATTCTGTTGCCTCCGTGACCCCAAGAGTGGGAATACAAATGTGCACCCACTTGCCTGGCATTTTTACATGCTCTCCAGGAATCAAACTCATGTCCTCGTGCTTGGGAAGCAAGTGCTTTGCCAACTGAGCCCAAGCCCAGTCAAGGCCCTCAAATTTACAAGTGTTCTTCCCTGTGTCTGCCATACCCCTGACAGCTTACCCATCATAGATATGGTCTGAACTGGAACAAATGCAGAGGACTGTAAGGACATCCTCTAGCATCCCCTGAGTTCAGAAAAATGTCGACGCCACCTAAATTTACAGTTGATTTGCTGAATGAAGGCTGCATACACAGACCTGGCTCTGGGCCCCGGATTCTCAAGAGATCAAAAGCCCCCAGAATAAGCCTCACCTTCAGTGCTAGTCGTCGTGCCTGGGGTGGGGGCAGTGGCGGTCGCGGTAATGGTGGGGGCAGTGGCAGTGGTTGTGGTGGTGGTGGTGGTGGAGGTGGGAATAGGGGTAGAGATTGTGGTGAAGCTTGTCAAGGTGGTTGGGGATTCCGTGGAGGAGACACAAATATTCAAGTGTTGTTTTATTGTCCCATTGGAGTCGCAGATCTCCCAGTAGCAGAAGATACCATCCTGAGTCTGGTTAACAATCTTTCCTGTACAGAGGGTATGGGGTCATCAATTCAACAAGAAAGATAGCCTTTTAAGGCTTCCCTAATTTATCCCATGTGATGGAGAACTGCATCCTCCATTCCAGCAGGACTGCATCCCCAGAACCTCTTACTTTGAAGAAGGAGCCTCACTGGAACGCAGAGGCAATGAGCCCAGCACCCAGATGAGAGGTGCACTAGAAATTCCCCATAGGGTACCACTCCCATAGGGTACCACTCCCATAGGGTACCACTCCCATTAGAGAAAGGAAACAAAGATGTGAAGGGGGAGCCTCCGGCTTGCTGCACAGCTCAGCACGTTGAAGCTGGAAAGAACATAGGCAACCAAGAAGGAGGGCCCAGGAGGAAACCAATCCCTACCCAAGCCCAGGTCCCACGGGCACAAGAACAACACAGTCCACAGGCTTCCTGGGTTGGGACCACTAACCCTCTACCTCCAGGATCCCAGCAGAGGGCAGCTTACCTTCATCTGGACGGCAGTCGATTTTTGAAGTGGTGTTGCACATACTGCAAAGCAAGTATAGACGCTACAGGTCCTCCCCATACCCTCCTTCCCACAGACACCACATGCCCATCTCCCTGTGTGCTGGCCCAAAGCCCCAGAGTATTGCCCCAACCACAAGCCACAAAGGAACCCCACCCATGGGGCTCTAAATGTAACCAGTCAGATGAGGTAAAGCAAGCTAAGAAAAAGCTGGCCCAAGAGAATGGGGTGAGATCAGAAGACCTGCATACTCCTAAGGACAGGAACTAGCACCTCTGTATCCTAGCTCCTATGACCATATGTGTACAAGTGTGACTGGGTGTGCAACTGTATGTGGTTGTGTCCATGTATGTATGCACATTGAATGGCCCATGAATGAGTGTGAGTGTGGCTATGAGCCATGTATGTGTGCTTGCATACACCTGACCGGTGACCATATTTCATGTGTCTGAACATGTTGTGTGTGTGTGTGTGTGTGTGTGTGTGTGTGGTGTGTACGTGTGTGCCAACCTTTCCCAGGCCCTATGAAATGTAGGCTCAGTACCAAGACTTGCAGATATCCTCAGTGGGAATAGACGAATTGGGTGGGTAGTGAATGCCATCAATATAGCAGCCACACTGGTCCTCAGTGACACATCTCTTTTTGTTTTCATCATATATGGGCTTGTCCTCAGGGCACCGAGGGTAGCAACCTAGTGGGTATAGGAAATGGGGCTTAGACCACCATGGATGATGCCCCTGGTCCATCATACCTTCCTCATCAACCCCACCCCATCTGGTGTTTTGCTTGGAGATGTTCATCTATGAAGACCAAGAGTCAGAAGACAGGGTTTGTGTCTCCCCTGACACTAGGATGTTCTGCTCCACACACACACCCATGAGTTAGTGTGCTCCTCTGCCACCTCTTCAGAAGTCAAGGCCTTAGCTGGCTTCCACGGCTCCAGTTCAGTGAACAGACTGTAGTGAAATGAACCTCAGTACCTGAGCCAAGCCTCTTAGCCTGGGGGCACCTTTCAAACAACCCTGAGTGTCTCCAGCTAATGGAAGCCCCCAGCCTGACAGAGGCCTACCCGTTGGCGGCCACCTCACTGAAGGGCCCTGTCCGCTCACCCTCCAGGTAGAACACAGAGATGTTGGAGTGGATGCCGTTGATGGTCCTGCAGGTCTCAAAGCTGTTGTTCCCACATGGTTCATAGTGCCATGTGCACTCATTTGGGAGGTTGTAGTAATCACAGAATACAGCTAGAGGGAGAGAGGACGGAACATGGTCCGGCTTAGGAGCACACAAGTGGGTACCCAAGTGAGCCTGCATCAGGGGATGTGAGTGCCAGAGCAGGTCCAGTCAGCTCCTACCAACACAAGTCTCACTATGCCCCCCCACCCCCAGAAAGGATGTCTGGGGACAAGGATGAGATCGGTGACATTCAGTCATCACCTGAATGGGGAAGGAAGATGGTGTCTGCCATGGATACTCACGGCATAGATCCGGCCTCCTCCAGAACACGCAGGCCCCTGCCTTGGTGCATTCTTGAGCATAGGAGGCCACCGCGGAGCAGAAACACTCGCAGTCACCGCCCGTGTCGCAGGAGCAGGAGTCGTGCACACAGGCCTCGTAGAAGACGGTGGGGTCCACCTAGCAGGGAGACGTCCATGAGCCTTAGGCCCGCACTACCCTGAGAGAGCCTGGACCGCAGGACACTGAAGCTGGCCCACAGCCCCAGAGTAGCTGACAGACAGGGGCACACCCACATTCAGGCCATCCTGATCGACAGATCTGTCACCCATCCCTTGAGTGCCTCAAGATGATAATCCTAAAACTGTCTCTCCCCCTGCTACCTTCTAGGCTCAAACAAAATAAGTCATTTCTCTCCCTCCCTGATGAGCTTGCAGTCAGGGCAGAGGAGGGCGGAGTCTGCCCAGGGATCTCAGAGAGAAAGGTTGATCATCTAATTACTGACTCAAAGAACCAAGTGTACAGAATTGAAGAACAAATACCCCACGGTGGTGCAGCAATATGTCTCCAAGTATCCTTAGACTACTTGGAGAGGCCAGGAGCCCAAAAGACAAACATAGCAAGACTAATGGGCCACACCCTTCTCGTGGGCACAGTCAAGCTCATTAATCTCTTTTAGTGGCCCCAACCATGGCCCTGATCACAACCACAATACGCCTATAGTGGGACTGTGCCTACAGAGCCCTTTGCCCATGACTACAAACCACCCACACTTGTGCCCCTGCCCACACTCGTGGCCCTCCCATGCCTGCAGCCATGCCTACCTTGCTGTGGCCCTGCCCATGCCTTCAGCTCTGCCTACCTTGCTGTGGCACCCTTTGAATACAACACTCTTGATAATGCTGCATTGCTTCTCTGCCCAGGAGCGACGGTGTGGGTTTAGGGTGCAGGGGTCTGGGGTGTGGTTCACATCTGGGCACGTGGAAGCTTCCTTCCAGCTATTTCCAAAGTCCAGCTCACTGGTCACCACCATATGGTCCCGAGTGGTGAAGTCATTCTTGGTCTGGTCATCAAAGTTCCCACACAGACCGCATACAGTGCCCTGTAGGTGGAAAGACAAGAGTCTCCAGCTTGAGAAGTTCTTGAAGTAGGTGAGAACAGCATCCACAGCATCTATGCTGGCGACAGCCCAGGACACGGCTGGCATCTTGGTGGCCCACCTTGTAAGAAGGAGCCAGCTTAATGAAGATGGTGGTCCTCTTGTCCCAGATAACGATAATGCCAGGGCTGGCCTCCACCACCAGGTACAGGCCCACTTCCCGTGCGATGTAGGGCACATGGTGCCTCTTTTCCAAATGCCTCACCACACGGTGTTTATCCATCAGCTTCAGCTCTGTTCCCTACCCAGAGAAAAGGATGGTCACTGACTGTGTCCAAGGGTTCCCACGGGATCCCCGGTCCCAGGAACCAGCAGCACTCACCCCTATAAATATCTTTATGGCCTTGGAGCAGGTAACACCTGTGGTGCCGCAGGGGACATTCTCAGTGATAATGCTGAAGGAGCCAGTAGAGTTCTGGCCACAGTAGTCCTGGGTCCCGACAAGACAGTGTTAGCCAAGGAAACCAGGACACAGGTGCCTACCCCAGCTGCTAAAGCCACCCCTCTGGATAGAAAATGCTCTGCCTTTCCCCATCTGGGATTCAAGGCCCTAACTCAAACCCCATCCAGCCAGGTCTTCTGTTGTCTGGGGATGGTGATGCCATACAAAGGGTAGAAGAAATAATAGCTGGACCTGTCACACACACACACACACACACACACACACACACACATACAGAGAGAGAGAGAGAGAGAGAGAGAGAGAGAGAGAGAGAGAAGAGGGAGAAGAGGGTAGGCTTTTTCAACACCCCTCATCCCCATACATGCCCATCTCATGAAGGAGAGAGGTTTACCACACCCTCTCTATTCATTGCTGGGAGCCCAAATCCTGGCAGCAAGGGTTCCAGGGTGAGGAAGGGCTAGCCCTTCCCACCCCAAGGACCTTCTTTCATATCTCAGGGCAGGCCCCTTCCTGGAGAGGTTCACAATCGCACCTGAACAGCCACATAGGAGCAATGTCCATCAAAGTCATAGTGCTTCCCATCGAAGGTGATGTAGTGGCCACTCCCATAGATGGAGCAGGTGCTGTGGCATGCATAGCGGGTGCACTCCCAGCGTCCTTTCTGGCAAGTACTGCGGAGAAAGGTAGAGGAGCCTGAAGGAGCCTGAGGCCAAGACTCCCACATGCCCTTGGAGAGCAGCTTAGGTAAGGCCCTGGGCACCATGGCACCAGCTCCTGAGGCCGTCCATTATAGGAAACCTGCAAGCACCTATACCGGCCTAAGAGTGACCTCTAGGGTGAGGGGTAGACATAAGACTTACTCTGTCAACAGAGCAAGTATCCCCCCAAAAAGCCAGCCTAATGCCTCCAATGCAGACTGACTGGGCCAGCTCACCAGGTGTTGTTACAGTCCAGTTTGATCTCGGACCCAGGTTTGTATAGGTCTTTGTTGTGGATGCAAGGACACTCCTCCTCCACCACACATGTACCATTGCCATCATCCAGCTTCCCATCGGGACACACACAGCCGCTGACACATTCTGTATGGTACTGGAATAAGAAGAAGGGCTCAGATGAGGGCCAAGCCTTCCTTGAGGGGTCAAGTGCCCACACGAGAATATCTAACAGTGTCCTGGACCCCCAACTTCTCCTCCTCTCTCCTAAAACCCCTCCCTTATCCTGGTCAGGGAGACCAGGTAGGGTTGCTGTTCAAGGCCGCTAGGCTGACCTCTTCACTGCCTTAGGCTGCCACTTCTCTTCCAGGGTCACAGGGAATATACCAATAGACCCAGGAGTTTGTGAGACTCAGGCCCCAGCCCAGTGAACTGGCAGTGTGGGAGTCTGCTCAGTCCACACAATGGCCTCAGGCATCCAGAATGACCCCCAACCAGCCCTCCCTGGCACTCACATAGCCAGCCACCAGTGTCTGGCAGCTTGTGGGGCGGGGTTTCCGGGTGGCCAGAGCAGTCAAGTTGTTGCAATCCACAAGGATTTTGGGGGACTTACAGGCTGTGGGGTTAAGAAATCTGTCTCAGCTCGGATGAATTCAGGGAACCAGGTAAGCAGGGAAGGGAAACAAGACTCAGACTGGTAGCCATACATGAGCAGCATCTGTAAAACTTACTGTGGCCAAGCAGTTTGACCTGGGTGCATTGCAGCCTCCCATTCCGGCAAATGCTATGAAAGAGAAGTGGGACAGGGTTCATGGGACTCAAGTCTGTCCCTGTGCAGGACATAGGCCAGCCAGGCCACCTCTGCACCGTTTGAGAGCCTCAGGCCCCACACGTAGAACCTCCCCCGCCCCCATTTTTCCACTTGGGGCAGAGATTCAAGAGCATCCACTCCCTGACTCTATAGGCCCCTTGCAGAGTCCAGGACACTCACCAGCGCTCCCCTTGCCTCAGGATCACTTCCCCTGCCTCCAGATAAAGACCGTAGTGGTAGCAGGAGCACTTAGCCAAGGGCACACAGCGGCCTTTCTCATCCATGAAGGTATGGTCAGGGCAGCCACAGCCTTCCACAGGTGCAAATCCCTTGAGGCAGTGAGCGTCACCCTCTGAGAGGGAGCGGCAGGTCTGCTGGCAAGTGGTCAGGTTGTACAGGAAGATCTGTGAGCTGGGGCAAGCGTCCACATCTTTGTCTGCAGGGGAATTCACGGGAGTGAGGGCCAATGGCACTGAACTCCAACTACTGTCCCTATAAACTGTCCCTGAGCTTCTCCTCCCTCCACCTGCAGATAGAGGCCAGCCACCCTGGGAACCTTTCCCACATTCCTGAACTCAGCTGCCACAGCTGTGACCATCCCAAAATCCATCTCTGCAAAATTCTGCTCCCACGCTGCACGCAGAGCCTAAAGGTCGGGCAGAAGCTGGGCGACAGCTACAAGGAGCTGCCCCTTTCCCTGGACTGACTGCTCAGGGCTCCCGGCCCCCAGCCCTAGGGAGCAGCCAGTGGGGAAGCACTCACTGCAGACGCGTTCCCGCCAGCCCCACAGCATGACCCCCTTGGCAGCACAGGCCTGGGCATAGGAAGACAGAGCTGCGCACATGCAGTCCTCATTGTTCTGACAGTTGCACGTGTCGTATTTGCACCTCTGGGAGACAAAGTAACAGTGATGTGAGGAGGCCAGGCGCATGGCCCTGGCATCCTGAGCACTCCAGTGAATACACATGTGCATACATGCCAGCACTCAGGCACACACACACACACACACACACACACACACACACAGCCACTCCCAGGCTCAGCCAGGTGGCCCGAGCACACTTTGTTGGCTGTGGGGACACTGCCGGCAGCATTGAGTATGTAGGGTAGGGGGATGAGCTCACCTTGTAGTAGTCAGTGGGATCCACAGCCAGGTGGCACCTGGCAAAAGGGGTCTCTGACTTCTTCAGAAGGGAACACCAGTGCTCAGCATAATTGGCTGGGGAGTAGATCAGAACCTCAGCATAACCAGGCTCCCCTCACATACCCTGAGCCTAAAAAGTCTGATCACCCAGGATGGAGGTGACACGGTATCCTGTGTGACCAAAGTCAGATCCCTCCCTCCCTCCCATCATAACTCCAGGCAGCTGTGAGCAAGATGAAACCGTTTTGTATAACACCCACGTCCTCCCTTTCTCAACCCCGGGGGCTAGAAATCTTCAGATATGATCGAGAAGTGGGTAGGAGGGCATATTGTCCTAGCATTAAGCCAGGCCTGGATGAGAGCCGCCACCAGCAGTTAGCCTGACCAGCCCATCTACTTTGTCGCTTGGAAAGCTGCCACCATGGGGCCACTATAAACTAGCCAAACAGCAGGTAGATGTGCCGGTCACCAGCAACATGGACTATGCAACCTCTACCCACCCTTCCGCCCACATACTAGGTCCCCATCTGCTCTGAGGCGGTACTGGCCAGGACTCTGTGTCCTAGACAAGCCAGTGGACAGTGACTAACTTCCCCTGAGCCTTACCGCTCTCAATGTTGAGGGAACAGGGGTCATCTAGCCAGTCTAACTTGTCATGGCAGCTTGACTGGGCCTTCCAGGTATTGGCGAAGCCAGCACCCGTGGCCTCCACCAGCCCACCAGACGTCATGAAGTCATCACTTTCCAGGCCGTTGAAGTTTCCACAGAGCCCTAAAGATGCAGGACAGAATTAGGAAGAATTAGATGTGGACGGGAGCAGTACAGGACCCTCATGGGGCTTTTTCAGGGACAATACAAAAGGGACCACTCACCCTGCACCTGTCCCTGGGCAGACTGGTCCAGAGTCACAAAAAGCTGCATGACTGGGACCAGTTGAATCTGTAGCCGCAGTCCGAATCTCGTGTTCACAACAATGTGGTAGGAAGACGGTTGAAAGATGGAGAAGCTTGCTGCAAAACAAGAACACGTTGAAATTGTTTAAAGACTGGAGAGTCATATTATGTCAGGATGTGCACTTCTCTCTGAGTGTATAAATTGATATTTCAAGTCTGTGTAGTGTGAACTGTCAAGAGCATTGTAAAATGGTTTTTATTTTTGTCTCTCTGAGCTGTTTGATATTTTGCTTATAGCCGAAAAAATTGAGATAACTATGCACATAAAATTTATATCAGACAGGCTTAATTGTGCTGACTGGCAGGACCCACTTGGGCTTCTTATTATGCTTTATGTCACTGTTTTTCTGCTGGATGTGACATTTGCAGTCATTTTGATGTTGCTCTGGAATGCATAGTATAATGTTTTCTTGTTAAAGATAGGACCTATTATGTGGAGTTCCGTGAAGACTCACTGGACACTAAAAGAAATATTTTGAAAAAAAAAAAGAACACGTTGAAAGATAGCAGGGCTCCTGGGTTCCACGTGACTGTTGGGTGGCATGCCCACCATCCCATTCCCCCACCACCAGCAGGGACCCAAAGATAGAGCCTGCCGGAGACCCAGCCTCTTAGGCTATCCCAATCCCAGCTGGCTCTTTTGACTGGCAGCAGCTCAGGACCCCTCCCTGACCCACTCACCTGCCACATGGGGCAGAGTCACCTCCAGGTCATTGAGTAACACACTGCCACCTGATTTGAAGGCCACCACCTGCAAGAAATGCCACGGTTGCATAGAGCCGAGAGTGCCTGCATGCAGGACCCAGGCATGCTAGGAAGGGAGAGAGGAGGAGTACTTACGTTCTTCTTGTTGTCAGTCAGCAGCAGGACAGTCTTCAGGCAGGTCTGCTTGTCTGTAGAGCCGCAGGGGGCCAGCTCACCCAGGAGGGCATAGGAGTCATTGTGCTGGCCCTGTATGAGGAAGGATGCTGTGGTTACTGAGGATCCGCGCACCTCCTGTACCCTAGACCCCCCCACTTTTCATCCTGTGTCTGAGAGCAGCACCACCCACCACCCCAGGGACAGCCTTCTCCAGAATCAGTCTCTCCTCCCTCCCCAGAGGACAGAGGGCCCCCAGCTCTGTCCAGGTAGCCTGGCCTGCCTACCTTGGTCAAGACATAGTAGCAGTCCCCGTGAAAGGTAAACTTTTTTCCATCAAAGGTGGTGATGTGGGAGCCACCTTCTAGGGCACAGGTCTGAGGGCATTCCAGTTCTTCACACAACCAGCGACCAGCATTGCAGACACTGCCCAGAAGCAGAGTACAGGGTCAAGACTCAGTGACACCCCAGCCTGCCTGACCCCCAGGCCCTATGCTCTGATACTTACCACTTCTCACAGTTATTGGTAATCTCCTGGCCTGGCAGATAGAGGTACCCATGCAGCTTGCAGTGGCACTGGCTCACAGGGACGCAGCCCTTGCCCGTGATGTCATCATACACAGTGCCTGTGGTAGCCAGAGATGTAAACTTACCCTGGAAGCCTCAGGAAGTGCCAGTTTCCCCAAAAGGAGAGGCTGTCAGCCAGATCTCCACCCACAGGCATCAGGACCCTGCTCTGTCAATGCAGATGCTCACCTCCCGGCCCTTAGGGTTCTGTGGAGGGTCCCACCTCTCCCTGCCTGCTCCCTGACCCAGTCTCTGGGACAAGGGTCTTCCAGAGCATGTACCTTCTGGGCAGAAGCAGCCATCCATGTAGTGTTCCTCACACAAACTGCTGACCTCCAGATGTGAGCAGGTGTCCATGCAGGGCGAGCTGCTCTCCAGGTATACCATGTTATCAGGGCATTTCTTGGCTAGAAGTAAAGTCAGCTCCATCAATCCACAAATAAGGCACTAACACAGTGCCAAGGCCACTGGCAGGCAGGGTCTGGGTGCTTGGCACAGACATGGCTCCCACCGGGGGCTCCTTAAACCCAGGGAGAGCACCACGTGAGAGGCCCCCCAAGCACCCCATGGGTCACCAGCTACTTACGGCAGAGTGAGGCAGTCCTCCAGTTCTCAGGTCGGCCCCCTGCGTGGGAGCACTGGCGGGAGAACTCAGCAAGGGTGTTGCACTCGCAGGCACCATCCTGAGGACACGCGCAACGGTCCTGCATGCAGGCGCGCACATACAACTCCACGGGCACCCGGGCCTGGCAGTCCTCGAAGGCTGTGGAGGTCAGCAGCCTCTCACACTCGGCTCGCTGAAGAGAAGGACACGAACGTGGACAGCTTCATACCCCTCCTCCCCTCCCCTTAGAGCATAGGGAGCCCCAACATAGGCCAGCAGGTATAGGCTTCCTAAGAGCCTGGGGATTCCCAACAGCGACTCACATGCTCAGAGCAAGACTCTGGCTCTTGCACCACCTCGGGGTCCTCGCATTCATCCTCAGGCTTGTTGATCTTCTGCATGTTCCCAAATTCAATGGCACTGTAGTGTATGCCTACGGATGCAGGTGGTTAGCTCCTTGGGAGCCGGGAGCCTGCAGCCTCACCCCTGTCTTCCTCTCAACAAGCCCAGTTTAGCACTCACCTTCTTTGAGGAACTCATAATAGGTCTGCATGCCATTGAAGTCCCCGCAGAGACCACAGGTGTGGTTCTGGAACCGGCTGTCTAGTTCTAGCTGTTGAAATGGAAGGCAGGGCAGGTGAGCAGACCTCAGGGCCCAGCACAGCTTCCAGAGTCCCTAGGTCTAAGCAGCTTCTCCAACAGGGCAGGTCAGGAGGAGGGCAGGGATCAGCCACCAGGAAGGGTCCTTCAGGTTGGGGTACCAAAATGCAGTCTCTGAGAGACAGAGACCAGTCACTGCACCTATAGCACAGAGGGCCCCTCCCAGGCCAGACCAATGGAGACTCTAGTACCAACCACTGTCTCCAGCAGCCTGCTCCACCACATAGGATCCTACTCCAATTGTGAGGCATGGGTCCCCCAATCCTGCCCTTCTATGGAGCCACTAGGCCTCTGGCCAGAAAGAGGAGCCCTGCCACCTCAGAGCCCAGGATGCTGGTGCCCACCATGAGTGCATCTTCACGGTTCCACATGAGGGAGAGACCAGCACGGGAGTAGACCTTGGTGTAGGCATCATTCTTCTCAATGAGGAGCCCAGAGCTGTAGTGTGGGGTGCTGACCCTGTGGGGACCACTGTGGGGTTACTCACCATCCCACCATCCCAGAACCCACCCACTGATCCTCCCGAGGGTTCTGCTGACCACATGGCGCTGAGGACATTATCTGGGATGAAGACAGCCCAGCCTGCCTCCTTACTTGGTCAGTATGTTCTCATCTGGAGCACAAACAGACCTAGCCAAGTTCCAGGAGGAGGCCAGAGCCGGGCAGAGGTCTCAGCAATGGCCAAGAGAGCCCTTGTCCTAGGTGATTTCCTTGGGGCATGGTCAGGCACTTTTGCCTATTTTCCTTTCCATACCCTCTCAGAGTCCAGGACAGAGGCCCTTCTCAGAAGCCCCAAAGGCAGTGGGTCTGGGATATGTTGGGGACTGAGCCCCCAACTCTCTCAGACCCTTGGTTCAGAGGTATTTTTCTCACCAAATCTGGCAGGGTGGAACTCTCAACCCCTGCCCAGACCTTTACCCAGAGTTGTTCTTATTCCAGGACCCCATTCCCCTTCTGAGCTGGCCTGGAACTGCCACGCCCCAACCCCTGAGCCTCTATCCCTAGGAACCTCTGCCATACAACCCACATATGACAACATGGTCCAGCAGACAAGGCAAAGTAAAGGGAACACTGGCAGAGCGTCCATGCAAGACACAGAAAGGCTTGGAGTGGGAAAAGAGAAAATCCCCAGGGAGGTGGACCTGCAAGACAGGAATGCATTTAAGAGGACCTCATTGTTACTGAGACAAAGCCAGGGAACAATAGGGCTGGTAGAGCAGCCTCTCCCTTCTGGGCTTCTGCAACTTTAGCCTGGGGGACAGGCTCCCTTCCGCATGGCCCCCAGGGGAAGTCTGAAAGGGACTCACAGATTACCTAAGACCCCCAGTCTACAGAGGGGACTCATCAGTGTTTGGTGAGTGAATCCACAGCCTAGCTCAAACCTCAAAGCATCCCTATTAGCCATGTGCCAGAGCAGAAGAGGGTGTCCTGGAGACTGGCTAGTTTATACAAAGTTCAGGGACGAGCTTGCTCTGAGGACATAGGACAGAGGAGACTAATCCCACTCACATGGCCCCGTTCACCACAGCCAGCTTGTGGGTGAGGTAGATGGTGTCGTCCTTAATGGTAATGATGATGAACTCTATCTGGGGGTGACCCCCAGCCTGGCCCAAGCCCCACTTCAGGTGCACAGCAAATTCCTTGTAGGAGTCTCGGCAGTCAGAGGCAAAGTTGTAATCACAGAGGCCAGGGAATCGGAAGACATCGCCGTCAAAGGTTTTGTAGTGGAAGTTGCCCCAGGTGCTGCAGACATGGTTTCGGGATATGGCTTCTGGGAGAACCGTGAGGACACAAGGTGAGACACCCAGGTCTGAGGAGGACTTCCCTGAGCCCATTCTCCAAGTTAACCCCAGAGGTCCCCCCAGGGGTACCCATCTGGGGCTCCAGATCAGAGTTTCTGGATAAGATGGTACCCCTACATAAGCAGTCTCTGCTAACTATTGGTCACCCTTCTGCAGGACTCTAAGACAAGGTCCTACCTAGTGAGGAGCGCAAGTGTGTGGGGCGCAAACGTGTGGGGCGCAAGCATGTGGGGCGCAAGAGTGTGGGGCACAAGCGTGTGGGGCACAAGCAGGGAGTAAACACAAAGGAGCCTTTGGGCAATCTGGTCACTCTGCACACCTACTGCCCAGTCCCCTCCACTGATGCTCTATTTAGCCCTGCTCCATCTACTCCTCACCCAGCAGGAGGTTGGACTGGGTCCCTCAGTCTTCAGGAGTCCCCACTGGGACATCCCCCACCCACAGCTTTGCCCTGATGGGACGGAAGCTTTCCATGTGGACACTCAGTCCATTCCCCAGAGGCACTGTCTTGCCGAAAGTCCCTTTTATCTGAAACTGTCCTAAACTTGGCTTCTCCTAGACATCCAAAGCTTCCCCACTCCCACGGATGATGGTCACTCGGGGAATTCAGCTTCTCATCCTCCTGGTGTAGGACCCTCAGCCTTGGAGAGACCTAAGACCCCAGGCCAACTGGAATGGCTCCGACTGGGGACCCCCTCTTATTCCAGGCACCCCTTACTAACTGCTTTGGGCTTCCCAGCCTCCCCACCCTCAGGGTGCCCTGCCCATTCCCTTGCCCAGATCATGCAGCCCCTTACCTTTCTGGAGCTCCAAGCCCCTGGCTAAGGCCAGGACTAGGCACACAGCCACCAGGCGAGCTAGTGGCAGCCCCATGGAGGCTCAGGAGGGTGGCACAGGAGAGCATCCCAGGGCAGGGGTCCAGGACTTATATGCCTAGCAGGCATCTGAGGGCGGGAGGACAAGGGAGGTGCAAAGGGTGGGTGGGGCATTTGCCGAGTTATCAGGAAAACAGCTGTGGGGGCTCCATGGGTCCCAGTGAGGAAATATTGATTCAGGTTATCTGAGTTTATCTTTATATGACTCCCTGGGTAAACTTGGCCTTCCTCAGGATGTCGCAGCCTCAATTATCCCAATGCCAGCACACACCCCAGGTGAACTCCATCCCTTTAAGTTACAAGCCAGACCAATCTCAGGTTTGAAGAGGCAGGAGGTCCCTGCTGGAATTACATCCCATGAGCTCTGCCATACCCCTTTAAGTGCCCCCAGTGCTGGCCCAGCAACCTCCAACACAGCCCAGGTAGAATAAGGAGCTTCCAGGTGTCTGCCAACGTCTCCATTCTATTTCTCCAGGAGTCCTATGGGCTGAGACAACCAGGACTGCTGAGGCTCCTCAGTTCGTGTCCCCTGGGGGAGACAAGTGTGGCAGGAATCGAGACTCCGGAGGGGGGTGTCTGACTCCAGTTCGTGATCCAACCCCAGAAGGCAAGGAGCAGTGGGGGGCCCGGGGGTGGAGGGGCCTGTCTCCATGGAACCTACTGCACTCTCCAGAGTCTAGCTAAGTCGGCTCTCTAATCCCCTTGTTTTCCCAGGCTCTGCCAGTCTCTGGAATTAAATGTAATTAGAACTTGGGCAGCCCTCAGCCCAGGCAACAACTCTTATTGGAATCATGTCCCCTGGTGCAAGAGGAAGTAGCCTGAAGTGGCCACTTTGTGAGAATGGGGTCTGAGCAGAGAGGTTAGCAGCCCCCACCCCAGCAGGTCCTGTCCTTGCAGAGTCTCCTGAGGCTAATACTTCTCCTAAGGACATGGGGGCTGGGGAAGCCCAGGAAGCCCAGTCTTGTTTCCTAGCCACAGCTGTTACTCCAAGAATGTGATCCTGCCTCCAAAGTAGCAGTGACCCTGGTGATCCTCAGTCCCCTGAGTTTAACCCAAAGCTGCAGCTGTCTCGCCAATGTCTAGCGATGCCTCTGGAAATCAGGATGCAGCCAACACGAGCCTATGGGAGACACCGGTTCCCAAGGTCCACACCAAGCTGAAGAGGCACAGGTAGCCTCCCATGCTGTAGCTGGAGCACAAACTGAGACCTAGTGAAGCCCCTCCCCTCCATATTTTCCTCTTCCTGAAAACAAGGCTAGGCCCTGACTTTGGCTAGAGTACACACAGTGAATCTGGTCACAAGTTACCCCCGGCTCCAGTTCAGTCCCCAAGTTCCAGAGGTGAGTGAGGAAAAATAGGTATCAGTGGTCACAGATTCCCTAAATGACAATGGCATCTCCTTTCCTAGGCTACTGCACAAAAGCCACACCCCGGGCTAGAGAAACTGCTAGTAATAGCACCTGGTCCACAACGCCACCCACTTAGGCCTCTGGGACCTCCACGCCATCCCAGCTGGAGTCCGGAAAGGGTCCCTCTACAAAGACATCAAAGATAACGACCACCAGCCAGAGCACTGGTCTGGTGGAAGTCACGGGTGAAGCCACTCTTCCCATCTTGCTGCGCCCATCGCTCTAGCTCTGTTCTGTCCTCCCCACTATAGCTCAGGCACGTGGGAGAACCTGAGTATAGCCTAAGCCCAAAACATAGGGATTATGGAACTAGAGCCAGCTGGGCCAAGGAATCCATTGTTTGACTTCCCTCTGTGGGCCCCTCAAGCTGGCACCATGCCCTGGGGAAACCCAAGGATGGACCAGGCCCCCTAGAACTTGTGCTTTTCCATGCCATGCTCTCTCTGCTATGGAGGGAGTCAGAGGAATCGTGACCAGACTCATGATGCCCAGCACAGACATCTAGCTGCACTCTGAGAATCTGGGTCCTCTCGGCATGGAAGAAGTCCTCCCTGGATGGAGGAAGTAGGTCCTCCCTGGGTGGAGAAACTGGAATCATCCTGGGTAGAGAAAGGTCAACACCATGTTCCCATTGGATGGAGCAGCGGTGATGACCCCAAGCTGAGTGACCTGACGTTAACAGATCTCTTGGTCCAATGCAGAATCTCAAGTGACTGATGTGAGCTTTGACAGCCCAGCACATGACTGGGCCCAGCAGTCAAGCCATAACCCTAGTAGTTTAGGGAACTGATGTAAGGGCAAATGGCAGTGAGGTTTCTGTCAAGTTCAAATGGCTTCATTACCTGTTACCAACTCTGGTAGTAAGGATTATAGGGGCATTTCATTTGTATTTTAATAAAGCTTGCCTGAAGATCAGATAGTAAAACAGCCCCACTGGTCAGCCTTACAGACCAGGCAGTATTAACACACACCTTTAATCCCAGTAGCCACATTAGTTGCCATGGAAACTGGGTGGTGCATTCCTTTAATTCTAGCGGTGCATGCCATTAATCTCAGGATTATAAAACAGGAGGAGACAGCCCTCAGACACAGTCTCATTCTGAGATTCCTGGAAGCAAGATCACCATTTCAAACTGAGATTGAGGTGGCCAGTGGCTTGGCTGGTTTGCTTTTGGGATCTTCAGGTTGAACCCCAATCTCTCTCTGAGGACCAGGACGGCCTAGGTAGGGGGCCAAGATTCTGCAACAAGACAGGCATGAACTGGAAAGCACTGAGTGGCCACACAGAGGCCAACACACACCGAGACAGATCCTCAGACCACACTGAGTGTGACAAACACCTGACCGACCCCTACTCTGTGCTGAGGTCTTAATGGACAGCTGCCATGGGCCTTGAAGCTCACTTTCCCACTCTTGGCCTCAGAGGCCCCTACCCCACCTCCTTGTAGCTTTTCCACAGGGCATGAAAGACTGTGATGAAGGAGAGAAGACGTCGATACTTTGAGGAAGTTGCTGGACAGTGTCATTGTCTACGACAAGGATGTGGTGACCAAGGTGAGAATGACCGCCCCACCCAGTCACAGGTGGGCCCTGCTGGGCAGGCTGCCTTCCCAATCCTTAAGTTAGAGGAAGTTGCTGGGCAGTGTCATTGTCTGTGACAAGGATGTGGTGTCGGAGGTGAGGATGACCACCCCACCCAGTCACAGGTGGGTCCTGCTGGCCAGCCTGCCTTTCCAGTCCTTTAGTTAGACCAGAACTGAAACCAACAATGCACAGGGTCCCAGGCATCCTAGACTTTCTTCTGCCAGCCCCACACCCTGCAGTGTTTACCTGGACAAGACACTGTTCCTGGGAATTGCACAGAATTTACAGCCTTGACTGCAGGGAGGAGGCAGCAAAGACGTCACAGCTCCTAACGTGAATGTTCTACTCTGTCTACACACTGACTCATCCGGAAGCTGGAGGGGAAGGGAGGGGAGGAGGGACTGCAGGAGGAGAATGGTGAGGGGGATGGGGGAAAGGGAGAAGAGGGAGTCCACCCCCAAATGGGGACCATCCAAGCCCCCACTCCCCTTCTCAGTGATCTCCTGCGATGGTTTCTGCTGTCTATCAGCATGGCTGAGGCTCACTGTCCAGTGTTTGGTCAGACATTAGCCTTGATGTTGCCAAGAAGGTTCAGATGCTGGTAGAAGGTCCTCCCTGGAGTGGGTGATGAGATTTCTCAAAAAAAGAGACTGCAGTCCGCAAGACAGAGAGGAGTCTACCTGCAGATCTGCTTTGGGTCTCCCATTTGTCTGCAGGTTTCAAACTTGTAGCCTGTTAGCTGGTTTTATGTGTTGAACTTGACACAAGCTAAAGTCATTAGAGAGGAGGGATCCTCAGTTGAGGAACTGTCTCCATGAAATTCAGCTGGAAGGCATTTTCTCAGTTGGGAGGCCCAGCCCATGGTGGGTGGTGCCATACCTAGACTGTTGGTTCTGGATGCTATAAGAAAGCAGGCTGAGCAAGCCAGGGCAAGCCAGCCAGCCGGTAAGCATCTCCCCTCCATGAACTCTACATCATCTCCTGCCTCCAGGATCCGGTACTGCTTACGTTCCTGTCCTGACTTCCTTCAGCGATGAACAGCAATGCTGAAGTGTAGACCTAATAAACCCTTTCTTCCTCCACTTGCTTTTCGGTCATGGTGTTTCGGCGAAGCAATAGAAACCCTAACTAAGACACAGCCCCGCCATTTCATGAGCCAATTCCTTAAAGTAACATTTGTCTATATGTGCGCACTTACACACCCTCTGTGTTTGCTTCCACACCCCCTGCTGCTTCAGTTTCCTTGGGGAACCCTGACTGATACATCTTGCACAACCCTTCTCTCTCAGGGTGGGAGGCAGCCATGCATCCATCCAGACTGCAGCTTTCTGAGTTCCCTATCCCAGACAGTTCTCCCTTTCTCTACTCCATTTTGACCTCAATGTGACCTCACTGACCTTTACTGTCTCAGCCACGTGAGTGGTCTCCGGCCATTCCCCATGATACACTGTAGTCGATTTGATTGCTAATACCTGTTCCAGAAACAGAACCCAAATTACTGAGGACTTTGTGTCTCAGTTGCTACAACAGAGCCTCTCTAGACATAGGAGACAAGGCTGGCTTAACAGCCATGCTGATCACTACCCTTGCCATCCTGGCCAATCATCCAGCACCAAGCTACCAAGTCCCAGACAGCAGCAATAAACTGAAGTGGGAAGCTTGTATCTCACCAAAGTCAGCAGACAGAGAGTACTCCCAGAGCAGCCATAGTTCTCAGCCCTTCTGGATTCCTAAAGGAAACCCCAGCCCCAGTCACACAGTGACAAAGCAGTAAGTCCTGGGCCTAGGCCTAGACAGTCAAGCATCTGTCACACAGGCATCTCTGCAGGGCCTCCCCTGAAACATGAAAGGCAAGTTCCAATACAGAAAATGGGTCCCCCACCTTCACCTGCAAAGGCTTAAGAACACTGGGAGCAGACAAACCTGGCCACATAAGTCCCCTGGAAGGAAGTCAGTTCAGCACAGGCTGTGAAGGCTGAGAGAGGAAGCAATAGAAGGCCTGGTCAAGTCAGCAGGCTCCACT